ACTCTTTCCTGGCATGCTTCCACTGTTTTGAAAATTTGTGATCTGTGGTCCTTAACAATTTATTATTCATTTGCACTGGATTATTAACGACTACTGATGATAAATGCAATGAACTAAATTTACCCTTTCCTTTCAGTTGGATCAAGCTCCTGTGTAGGCATTTACATGTCCCACAAATACTGTACATGCGCAACAGGTCATAAATTTGAAGGACACCCTGAATTCTACTGAAATGAAAACAAGCACAGACTCTAGTCACATCAGATGCTGCTGGATTTTATTCTGGAATTCCAAAATCTCAATCAAAAATTGGTCTTTTTTCCAAAAGTGGATGCCCCTCCTTACAATCCTCCACAAGACAGGCACGAATCGTTCCTGGTCAGAGAGATGTTTGCTTTATGTGAATTTCTGTTTGGCTGTTATCCAACCTCTAATGCGAGTTTCAAAAAGAAAGAGTGACATAATTTCTCACACTATAAAAACCCAAGCTAGACTCTAAAGCCATGACATTTTTATGCATAGAAGAACTTTTTCATCTCATTTTTGAAGATGTATCTCTTTTACTACTTCTCTGCTTCTGAAACCTGAATTATTAAACGCAACGAAAATTCAGAAAACAACCTTACAGGACCGTGATACAAAAAACTACTCAGTATATGCTTTGAACTCTTAATTGTGCTCTGAAACATATGATACACACAAAATGCAAGAGATGTTATCAACCTTAATTCAACATGATCAGAATTGTTGAGGCACACAATAACAGAACTCCAACTGGTTGTTAATGTACTCAAATCTACAGCGCTACTACTCCTTAAGTTATTCAACCTCACGTTTTCTCCTAAGGTTTTCCATGAAATGTGGTGGTAGAGAGACTCATTCTAGCCCTGCAGTATTGTACAAGAAAGCATGCCAACAGTATGGAATACTACTATATGCAATTTGTTTTCAAAGAAAATATCATATCTATAGATAGATCTATATAAGTCCTCTATACTTACCATTATTGTTCTTGTTGTATGGCTGGATGATTCTGGAAAACAAAAGAACCACAGCACATTAGAGTATTCTCGTTAGCCTTAAAAGCCCTATTTTCTCATGCTCAATCTGCAGGCTAAGATGTTAGTGCTCAGCTACAACAATGAATAGATCAGAAATGCACAGATGGGACAGATACCTCATGAAATGAACATGAGAATCATCAGTGATCCTGCAAAATATAAGCCAGACATAGTATACTCTTAAACGCACTCATTTTCTTTGCTTAATTATCCTTTTCTGCAGAAATAGTTCTGAAACATAGAAATGGAACTAATTCATATTTCACGTTTCAAGAAGTGGGTTTTATCATTTTGCTTTTAACAGGTGGCATCATTTAACATGGACAATGATCAGCTCTCCTGAAAAAAGTACAAACAGTACTGGCATAATTCCATCACTATTCTCACTTGAAAAAGCTGTATGAAACCAGACAACCTTTGCCTGAGAATTCTGAAATGGATTATCATTTTTTAATTGACAAAGGCTGAAAAGTACAACATTCAGAAATCTTAACTATACTCTCCTCTATGAGGATAGGAATCAGGAATCTGATTTTAACTGAATTTAACTTACATATTTATAAAAAATTGCAGAAAAATCATGACAAGGCCAACAAGTACCATAGATTTCATCCTGCAGTTTAAATTAAATCGGAAATTTGATTTTATTTGCAAGGATAGATGACGACTCCCCTCTGGCTTTAAAACAGTACATTTGTCACATTACAGCTGTGCTCTTTGTTTTTTGAAGGACTATAGTTTAATTAACTAAACAATCTTATCAAGTTAAAAAAAAAGGGGGGAAAAGGGTGGGGGGAAGAAAATTTGCTGCTGGTCCATATGATGTAAGATGATACTATCAATCTCATAGACCTATCTGAAAATCCTGGTAAAATATTATCAGCTATATTTTGCAGAGATCTTAAGGAACGGACACGTGGCAACACTATATGCAGTTCTGGGGAAAACATACAGCTCTGAAAGAGCTGAATCAGCAAAGTCTCACTTCTGCAACTGAGATAAATGTACAATAATCACAAATAGCTTGTTCTTGCCCCAGTTCTAATCAGTGATCCTTACTGGGGTCTCAAGCGGCATCACTCACATAACAGTAACAACAAATGAAGTATTTTTTAAGAACTGTATTAAAGAGACTAAAAGGACACGAGAGCTGCACATCTCTTCCTGAGAGATGGTAATCACACTACCAAACTGGCACTTGTCTCACTTTCTCTTTTATTCTAAAGCATTTTGATGAGTCATTTGAACAGGTCTGAAGGTAGAGTTCAACCACTGACAGAAAGTCATTTTAAACATCCCAAGCTCTTTAGAAACTTCAGTCCCACATTCAACAATGACTCCAGTATCTAGTTTGCATGTGCACTTTCAAAAGTTTTCATTCTTAATAAAATCTAATCAGAAATCAAGAGAGGCATCAATAGCTTCCCATGGATAAAGGCTCTATGACGTGAAAACTTACCTAAAGGACAGATCTTTTAGTTGTGAGCTCTTCTCCCAGGCTCTTGTTTTCCCCACACAAACAATCACATATAAAAATACATTTTATTCACGATTCATCCAGGCAAAATGTAAACTGGCAATGTAAAAATGAAATGCTGTGCAAGTCTACTACCTTTCTCCTGATACCTGAATGTATTTGAATTTTACTCTGTTATCAAGTAAGAAAAAAGCACAGCAGAGGGAAGAACACTATTGTCTGTTCAATTTATATTTTTAGAAAAATTTTTTGTTATTATAACTTTACTTATTGCTTTGACATTCCCGTCAAATAACATTCAGGACTTGAATGTTTCTGAGAAAGCCTGGAGACCACATTCATATAAATATAACGATCTAAATAAGTCTTGAGACGAGGACTCATTCTTTTTACAAGCCCAGCTACCCCCCAAAAAACCCTAACTCCAGTAGTACAACTGCATTTACTGAGATGTCCTCAAATTAAGCAGAATATCAAGTTAAACAAATAGTAGAAAACCATTTTTTTGTCCCTCATATAAAGATACCTTAGAGAGCACTTCCAATCATCCCCAGAAGAGCCATACCTTTTTATACTCAGATACTACAATAATATCTGCACTCTTATTCAGAGGTGTTATGCTTCTGGCATAGATTTATATGCCAAAACTATAAAACTATGCTTAGCCACGATTGCAATACTGATGCCCCAAAATAAAAAGTTCCGCAGACAACTGAGTGAAAGACACCAGTCAGAAGTTTCTAGGATTTAGCAAAGACTACTAATTAAAGCACTGTTATTGCAATATTGCCCACTTTAATCCCCAAATATTCAGATTTCAGAACCAGGGAGACTTTCTTGAAGAAAAAAAAATTGCATCCTGGTTAGGCAGAATTCTGTCCAAGATTTATGCACAAAACCACTAACCAATTCTGTGGCAAACTCTGCTTTTAAGTTAGATAATTAAGAAAGAGAGCCTATTTTTCCAATTAAAAAGATAGTCATGAAGCATTCAAAAAGGCATGTTTAACAAAAGATCTGCACACACCAATGCAGTCTCCTTTGCCGCTTGAGGGAAATAGTTTAGTTAAAAACTACAAATATCTTGGAGTTCAACAGAACACACAGAAAAACGCTTTGAATTTTCAGTTTTTATCTGCCAAGCTTTAGAATGATCTAATGAATTTAAATGACTAGGCTCTGACTTTTCAGTGAAACTGGCACTAGTGGATACCTGGGCTTAAGTGCATTCTTACAGCAAACGATTTTGTGCAAGACAATAATCTGTTCTTGCATTTCCTCAGTACCAGACAACTCCAGGGTACAAAACTTTTCTTTCTTTTTGGCTGATGAAGCACGAAGTGACGTGGATTGCTCCACTTCAAACACAAATGGTTAGACAATGTCACTAACAACAGGTTTTGGTAATCTGATGTGAAGAAGTTACAGTAAATCCAACTTTAGTACTGCCAAAACGTTTAGAAGCTTAGTATCTTGGAGTAATTGATGCATCAATGCCAGAAACTGCCTAATATTCTTGTATCTTCTTTCTATGAGATGTTTCTTTAACCTCACAAGAAGAAACAAGTTGCATACTGAAATTCCCTCCCGTTAAAAGGTTGCTTTACAGACTACACTGACCAATAAATTGTTTCTTCCTATTTACAGGTACTAGGAGACTATAAAACTTTAAACTGTAAAACCATTTAAGGCTAAATCACAAAGACCCCACTGCTAAGGGATGGTGCCAGCTATGGAATTATTTCAACTTTACATATTATTCCTCACTGGTATGTTTCTTCTTCCCTGAAGAGTTCTTCAAACTAGGACAGAACCCACCTCCTTGATAACATTTAAATCCTTTTCCAGCTGTTTGTGCATTTGCTTTAGGTGTGTTTTTTTTTTTAAAGTCATTCTGTTGATGGGAAAATTTCAGCTCTCTCTTTTGTATCAACAGGGTCACCAGTTATATTACTGAGTGAAAGCTGGCCTTTTCTAAACCTTCCAGAATAAATGAGCTTGAAGATAATGTCCTTTAGACACATGAAAAGGAAAGACAGCCATGCAATGGAGGTGTTTAATTCTGGTAACATTTACAGTTCATCGTGTTGTATGAGTCTATAAATGACTTTTTCACCCAGGAAGGACCTGCTTACGAAACAAGCTGAGAAAGGAAGACTGTTTCATTAGCTCTTAGGCTTCAACTTAGGCTGTGAATATTCAAGTAAAAAAACTTAATTACTTTTTAAAATAAGTTTGTAGCAATGGAACATGTGACCTTAAGTGTTAATTCAACAGTATTATTAAAAAATAAATAAATAGCCTTATAATCATATTAAGAATGCGTTTGAATTTATTTGGGAAAGACCCTTAGTCTCCCCATGATTTAAATCTGAAACATGGGAGAAACAGATTATAGACAAGAACAGCAAAAAAGCACGAAAACATACAAACTCATCTCCAAGCATTTTCCCAGAAGCTGGATCTTAAGTACTTTTTGAAGGCGGCTTCCATATTACATTATGTAATGAAATAGTCAAGAAATACTTCTCTGCAATCGTAGCTTAGAAAAGCTAATCTGTTCAGCTGACAGTAATCATTCAAAGAAGCACTTTAAGAATGAACTCCAGGTCTCAAATCCAGAATATGTAATTCATGAGGTAATATGCTACTAATCCTGTTATCTAACAGATAATATTCTCTTTCTGTAACTTTAATTCCTTAAAATAATACCAGGGGAAAGCAGTGATTCCAGGAATTAAGTTCTCGTTATCTGCAGTATGTTTTGTATAAAAATTTGATTATAGCGTTCATCTTACTGTTTACTGTTTTAAGAGCTGATTTATTTTGCCAATTATAAAAGATACTATTACTGTAATTTCATGCCTTCACATTACCTTTACAGAAAAAAAACAAACAACCCCCCCCCCCCCGGATGCAGGGGCAGAAACAAGGGGGAGTTCACCACAAAGTTCCCTTTCCTCCACCTGTGATCCAACATAGTTGCTTTTTCTATTCCAACAGCTCTTCCCATGTTCTCCATCTACCAGTTTTGTGAGGGTTACCAGAAGTGCAAGTAAAATTTGTGAATACAGAGATACAAAGCTATTTTCTTTTCATAAGCATTCATTTCCTTAGTACAGTAAAATGTAAGTGATGTATGACACACTCCAAGCGGCGCATCAAAGCATGAATGCAATTCTAATTTTGTGATTTTCTGAATCACACAAAGGCAGAATGTGCCCCAACTTCACAGATATATTTTTTAAAGAAATGGAATAAAAAGCAAAAAAAAAAAAAAAAAGAAAAACCCACACCATTCAATTGCTAGCATACTTACACCCTTGGAAATAACTCATATTTCACAAGTTACAGTAAGTCTGAAAACTATGGTCATATTGAAACTGTTTTCTGACTTTGGCAGGAAAAAGCAATCACCATCTCTATTAAAAAAAAAAAAACACACACACACACAGACATACACCACAGTGAAGCACTACGCTAATGCCTAGGAGC